TGCAAAAATACGTACCTCCTGGGACGCATTTCGCAGTCTCCAGAGACATCCACCGCGGTGACTGAAACTCTGCACAAGACTTTTGGCCAGCGGAGAAATTAAAATGGTCGTGCCGAACTGAATATGGTTCTCTCAAGGTTTTTTTTCTTCACTCCCATCAGGTGAAGTTTTTTTCCCCTGTCCGCTGTCGCCACTGGCTCGCATGGTTCAGGATTGGTAGAGCTACGCATCGATGAATTTGCTCTCCAGTGTTTGAACTGTCAGTAATGATTAAATCACACTGAACCGAGCTAACCTGAACTGAACTTCAACTACTAACATTCAAGCTGCTCTGTTCCAGTGACTATGACCGCAGCACCCAGAGGAAACCCACGCGGATGCAGGGAGAACATGCAAACTTGCTAATCAAGTTGTCATAATGATTTTTTTTAATGCATTTCCATTAGACTTTTTTTTTCCCTAAATCTGTCTTAAATTGGAAAATTTCTCCCAGGTGAATCTTGGATTTTTCTATTGAAGGTGCATGAGATTGACCCATGTTCAGATTTCTACCGTTTTTTCTTTGTGCTATGCAGTGCTGTCTTTTCCTTTCTGTTTCACAGACATGATCTGTCGACAAATTACAGTAAAAACAGCAAAAAAAAAACAGTTATATTGACATCATGACAAAGTAATTTGAGTGTCTTATCTGTGCACAATGATTAGGCACTGCCACCAAGTGAAGTTTATTCATAAACTAATTTCGAGAGGATCACGTGCTTATGATTTATCACGGCCGGTCTCGCATTTGCTAATCACTATCTTCCAATCATATGAGCCCTAAGCTACTATAAATAGCCACAGTTTCCAGCTCATTTTATCTTCGTTTGGAAGAAACCCCCCTCCTCCCCTATTCTCCTCCTTTACCTCTGATTGGGCGGCACGGCGGCCCAGTGGTTAGCACTGTGAGCCCCACAGCAAGAACACTGCCAGCCCTGGTTCAACAGGACCGGTGGGTGTTTCTGTGAGGAGTTTGTATGTTCTCACCGTGTCCGCGTGGGTTTTCCCCGGGTTCTCCGGTTTCCTCCCACCATCCAAAGACATTCAACATACATAACAATCAAGCTTTGTCTAATCCCTTGTGTTCCCTTAGCTACCGCAGCAGGGGAGTTCTGAGATCCACCGAGCTCAGGCTCCCCTCTTGCTCTGCCAACGGGAGGAAGCCCCGGGCTCGAGGAGCCCTTGAGCTCGGGGCTCTCTCCCGGGACAGCATGCCAAACAAGCTTTTATAAATCATCAGCCAAGTGTGAACGCTTGAAATCACTTTTATTGTCACGTGTGCTAT